TAATCAATACAAATCCCCTTGACTACATACCTCACACTCATATTCCCGCATGTCAAAGTCGCAATAATTTGGCGACTAACAGCCAAGACAGGCCAGCTCCTCATATACCGTGTCCCTTTGACATAATCAACCTTTATGTTATTCCGATTACACAGGTGACGCAATCAATATTTTATTTCCAGCGCTATCGTGCCACTTGAAGCCGTTGGGCTCATCGCTTGGTGGACGTACGAAAGTATCAGCACAAATCCCGATTGGTACAAATTTACCGCGGAATCTTACATAGTAATTATTATGGAGGTAAGTGTTACTTCTATCCTTGCGCTGTTTTCGGCGGCGGACTCACCAGTCAGCCCGCCTGCTAGGTGAAGGCCAAAACGATTAAACTTTGCTCTTAAGCCAATATTGTCAAGTTTGGCGTCAGTATTCCCATGATGCTGTGCTTGGTCTTACTTTCAGCAATTCCTCATATAATTCTGGTTAGAGCGTATAGCAAATATAGGCAAAAGTAAAGTTGTTTGTCCTGCTTAGATATCTTTGAATTCACCATTCTGTCCTACGTGACCGGTGCTATTAGTTTAGTTAATAAGTTTAAGTTTTATTTTAGCTCAGTTTTGGGTTTATTTAATTTCCTTTTGTTTAGTTTAGTATATCGTGGCTATTTAAGTATATTAACTTAACGTTCGGGGTTTCTAACTAAAATAAGAACTGAATTAAACAAAAACAAATGAATCTAAAAATGACCACAGTACTAGGGGCTAGAGGTATGTAGTGTCTGCGACCAACTTACCTTTTAACAGATATGAACACATTTTATTATTGGGCAATACATAGACCTCCAATCAAAGCATTGCAACTACTTCAGTCCTCGTCAACACACGAATATATCCTTTCCTCAGTTCATACCGCGTATCCTCTGAGAGGAAGATAGAAACAGATTAATACATAGGAGACTATTGCGGCTATTTGATATGCATCAAAACAGCTGAACTGTAAAGTGTTTTCTCTACTTGGTCTAATTGCAAACACATCTAATATTCTATTTGAACAGTCGAGGACAGTGCTATTGTGTAGAATTGTGGAGCTTGAGTGCAATAGTTCTTAGATGATAAAACCAATGAAAAATAATCAGATAGAACCTATAAAGTAAATTGGTACAAATAATGTTGATGAGCACTGACCACTTTCAAGTTGCCCTCTGATTTCTAAGAGGATCCAGAATTTCTTAACGTGTGTTCAACTTGTCACTATTTTGCTTCCGAATGTTAGGAAGTTTGTCGTTTCCTTGGCTTATATCCATCCTCAGTGAATACACTTAATTCTTTTTTTTCCAAATTGTAGTGGATAATCGTGTTTATTCTGCTTGGCGGAATGAACCTCATCGTGTACTTCTGCAAGATCGCAGTATTTGAAAAGAATGTCGACATCGGTTACGACCCCTATCACCCCGAACTGATCCCCTCTCGAGAAGATTGGCTCACTTCGCGGGAAATCCCTATCGTTTCTCAGGAATGCATTCTAGACTCAGATCCCCAAATACCTATGTATTAACTTTACAATCATTCAAAGAGCCATACAAATGTTTTACACTTTTACCTGTTTTTTTTTAATACACGCAGACCAACAAATCTCATATACTTCTCGCATCAAATTTGTAATCCTTCATACCATATTTTTATTTCATTGCCTTAATCCAGTGAGATAATTTCACAAGAAATAAAACAGATAGGCTTTTAAAACGTGTCACTGAAGGGCAGTTAATAAAACCAAGTTTAATACAATCATCTTCCTGCAAATTGAATAGACTGGAACTTTGGGGTCTCTGATCTGTTCTCGAATTTTTACTGATATACGTCGATTTTTTATGGCACGAAACGGCCGTGAAAAGCACAGGCATATGGGTGGTCATTGTGTGAGTTTGGAGCGTACTACGATTATAAACAGTTTTAGACAATGGAGACAGGTATCACGGTAACAGTTGCATAAATCATGTAACTCATGATATTGCAATGAGGTAGGTTTTATGAAACATGACTCATTTCCTAGCATTTGAATCTATCCTTAACAAAATTTCATTTGCCAATGGCAATTATTGGACATTACAAATAAAGCAAACGGATTGACTCCACTTTCTTTAAAAATATGTTTATTTTAAATGTCCGGACTGTTAATAGTGGTCAGTCATCAGATCTGAAAGAAATGAGATCGGAGTTGAATGGATAAGGCGAAAGAATTGTCGAGCGTCAGGATCACTTTGTTTAATGTCCTGAGCTTTCGAACTCTTACCGGAGTCCACCTTTAGAGATGGGAAACAGCAATAAAAAA